TGGCCCAGGACAACTTCCATGGCTATCTGTCTCCATGGGCAGCTCCTCTATTTCTGGGTCTGCCAAGCCACCAAGGGGAACATCTACTTCTCCATTTTGCATTCACCACACATAGCAGAGATGAGGATTGGAACTTGCAATGAGAGCCAGGGAAGATGCATAGAGATGCTATAGCATATGCCAGGATGGTATCACTTTTCCTGCTAGGATACACTTTAGTTTGGACAGCCAGGAGCAAGTGAAACCCAAAGCTAGCTGCTGGCCCCTCTCTTGGTTGTTGGTCTCCTTGCTGCTCATCTCATGGGAGGTCTTGAGTGTGCTGCCCCCTGTTCCTTCTCGCTGTCTTCCTCCACCTTGCTTGGAGTGGCTGAGGAAAGGGATGAGGGAGAATTGGTTCAGGGAATGCTGGTGCATAATTTAAGGGTTTACATAGCGAATGGGTAAGCAGCTCTCACCAGTGTCACTGGGGAGAGGCTCTGATAGCACTGTCTGTGCCAGGCACGGGCACAGCAGGAGCTGAAGGACCAGTCCCTGGTGCTGACACTGGCGAGTGCTCCTCCGTGCAAAGGCACTTCACAGGCTTTATTATTTCCTTGGCAGCTGTGAGCCCACTGCACAGCTCTTGGTGGGAAATGGAGCAAATAAGAGTGTTTGCTCACCAGGGGAGCATGTGGTGAGGTCCTTCAGAGGATTTACACCAAGAGCACCCCAGCTCCCTGGTGGCTGATCTCACTCAGGACTCTTTTCCAGCCACTCTGGGTTCCCCTGTCCACTCAACTTTTCCCCTCTGCTCCGATGAATGTGAGTTTAGTGGCTTGGGCTGGTAAACTTTGCTGAAATTTCCTGTCTGCAGTTGTTGCCATGTTTTGGGAGCTGTTAAGTTGGTTTGTGAGGCTCTGTTTGGTCTGGGAGATGGAATTGTTCCCACAGCTGGGATGAGGATAGCATTTTCATGGTACAACTCAAGAGCTGTGTGAACCTGAGCAAGAGTGAGTTTTCCACTAGTGAATCACACAAGTGCTGGCCCTGTCACTGCTCAGAGCCTTGCATGGTGACTGGCCTTCCCTGTGCCCATCCTCATCCCCCTGCCATAAGCAAAAGCAGGATGCTGGCTCTGGAGAAGGGATTTGTGAACCTGTGGCCAGTCCAGCCAAGATGTGATACAGCGTGTCTTCTGTCCCTTTGTCTCACCCATCTCTGTCCTATTTTATTTCTTCTCCTGGTAATGATGTACTAACCACAGCAGCTCCTGTTAATGCAGCTGAATGGGTTGAGGTGGAAAAAAAAGGAAGCTGGTGTAGTCACAGCTTCTTTAGTCTCCCCAGAGGAGGCTTAACTGCTTTGAGGCTCTGTCCTGGGCTTGGATTCTCCAACTGGCATCACAAGTGCCACCAGAGCTGCCAGGCACAGCGGCTTCAAAATGCACCTCACCAAAACCATACTGGGAAGCCAGGTTCTGGCATGGGATAGGATAGCTCCATCCTTCCTTAGCACCTCTGTGGGGCCAAACCACTGGGATGGCAATGAAGAGAGGCATCTTCAGCAGAGTGAAGGGGGGGGGGCAGAGAG